ATTTTTATTGTCTTTTTCATATCTGGCAGAACATTATTAAGCACCTTAAAATGAAGTTAGATTCAAAGTTTTATTCTTTTAGTAAGGCATTTTATACATGTAGAAATGCATTGAGTGTAGAATTATTTAATCAACATTGGGAATCTATGTTAAAGTCATTTCCAGAATATTATAATTATATGAACAAAGTATTGTATAATAATCGGATGAGTTGAGCTAAGTCTTTTATACCATTTCAGTTTAATGCTGGTATACAAAGTACTCAAAGTGTCGAATCATTTAATGATATTATAAAAAAAGCTTTAAATTGTGTGAGCATACTTTGTGATGTTGAAACAATAATTAATAAAAGACATGAGAATGAATCTCAATATTGTAAGCTAGTTGATCTTAAAGATCAATATAAAACTATTGGTCTTCCACACGTTTCATCCCAATTTTTTTCAAGTGTCGATGCAGTTCTTGTATAATTTTTAACACCACCTGTATTATCATGGCAACGATTTCAAATATCCCAGTTATTTACTTATGAAGGTTCATTAGCCTTATCTTCTGTTGAGGTAAAGTTATTTAATTTTTTATATATAATTGTTATTCATAAGTAATATTACAGATATTTATAATACTATTCGTTTTTTGTAGATTTTGGACTTAGATACTGTTAATGATAACTTTATAGAAGATGTATTGGATAAACTACAAATGACCTTACAATCTTTACTAAACAGTATGAAGGGTTTAAATGTAGTTGAAACTTGGAGAATTTGATGTATAGGTGAACTTTCATGTAAAGAAAATTTGGTAGCATTATGTGCTGATAGAACTCATATTTGCACTTGCATGGAGACTATTACAAAAGGCATAATTTGTTGGCATTTCTGGCGTGTTATACTTTATTCACATTTTGCAAAATTTCATATAAGTATTATACCTGCTAGATGGTATAAGAATAATATTTAGACCAACTTAGATTTTAACATTAAAGATTCACCTATACTTACTGCAATAAAACCACCCACTGATTGTTCTTTTCAAGTAACTTTTAATTTTTAAAGCTTACACAATTTCAACAAACCTAATGATTATCTATATAATAAAATTGATCATAAACATATTTCTCAAAGAAATCGATATGGAATTGCTTTTTCAGCAGCCAAAACTGCTATTAATATCACCTTGGCAACTAATAAAGATGCTGAATTGGTTCAAATATTGAAAGATTTTATTGCAGCTAATCAAACGAAGCATGAAAACGTGATAGAAGAAACTAACAACAGTATTAGCGCAAAAGATAATAATTTTACACAAGATACTAGTGAAATAATTCCATTGCAACAACATTTAATTGATCAATTAACTAGTCCAAAAGTTACCAAAATTCGTGGTGCTCCTTGTAAAAAAAGAATTAAAGGTTTTGTGGAAATATCAAAAAGAAAAAAGACAATGAATGAAATTACGAATGTTATTCAAGATAATAGTGAAGAAGTAGTCTTAAAACAGCAACGCAAATACTTATTATGTAAAAACCCAGGTCATTATCAAAAAAAATGTCCATTTGCTAGTACAATAGATAAAGAAAATGAATAATATGTCATAATTATAACAGAAATCAGGTATATATAACAATCGTTATGCTTTATTACTATAATAATTTAATATATATTCAATGTTGTAGTCTAGCTCACAAAAAAGTAACCTGCTCTAATAGTTAGGATAAGGGTGTTTCAATAAAAGTATTATTTTCTTGTGGGTTTAGTATTATTGAGTGAAGCAGAGGTGATAGCCGAAGCATAGCAATTACTATAATATTTTAATCTGTTAGTTATTAAAAGGATAGATTAACTTTCAACAGTGTTTCAATAAGTGCTTTTACT